TGAAAAACCCAGTGATGTACTTGGGCTTGTTGGCTACCACGTGCCACTTAAATTCTCTGTGAGTGATACCTCTCTTTGCTGCCGTGAGTCTTACAGCGGGATCCAGATTGGGAATTTGTAGACAGGTGTCGTTGAAGCGTTTGATGTAGGTTCGAATCGACTTTCCTTCCCTCTGGACTATGCTAAGGAAGCTTTCCTGTGACCTCAGACACTTCTTACTGGTAATGAAGTGTGAGGTGAACATTGTATGAACTGCACCCAACTTTTGATCATCTTGGGTGCGAGGTTCCTGTACCACGTGCGAGCCACTCCTTTGAAGGTTGTGGAGAAGGCAATGCACATGCAAGATTCATCAGCCCCAACTAGGTGCATCTGGGACTGGAAGGAATCCACATGATCATTCGGGTCAAATGACCCATCATACTTGTCCAGCGGAGGTACCTTGAAGTCCTTCGGCATTGGGGTGGCCAGGAGCTCGGAGGACAAGGGAGATGGCACGGAGAGGAGGGGAGCGGTCTTCGCGGTTCCTGAGCTCGCTTCTTCTTTGCCTTTAGGCTGTTCGGGCTGACTTGGTCTAGCGAGCTGGCTTGGAACTGTAGTTCGGCGTGCCTTACGACGCCGTTTTCTGCTACTTCTTGACTGGTTCAACATTTGTACTGCTAACTTCAGTGCTGTCGGGCACTGTTCTGGCATGGAGTTGCTCGGACTACTGATGCTGGCTGCTGTGGACAGATGGGCCCTGTTTAGAGTCCGCAACTAGAACCCCGAACCGGTTCCCTATGAGCGAAGCTTCAAGCTGTGAAGGCCGAGGCGAAGCAGCTCTGGCGGGCTGAGTATTTCCCGACCTATTCACTTGCTGCGAGGCGGGAGGAGTGACTTGCCTTTCCCTCCTGCTGCGGGACGAGACCTGACTCCCGAGAGGATTTTGGATCTGGGAAGTCTCTCCCCAGCGAGGAGGGCGATTGTTCTAACGATGAGACTTGTTCTGTTGTGTCGCCGGATGCCGAGGTGGGACTGGCTGTTGATTCTACTGTAGCGGTGGGAATTGCTGCTGGTAAAAGTGATGTAGGACCTGCTGCAGGTACTGCTGGAATTGTTGGACCTATTGCATTTGAACTTGAATAGCCCGCACGCAGTGTACCAGGTTGTCGAGCTGGTTCTGCCCAATTGCAGGGGGAATTACAGAGGGTTCAACAAAGGTTGCACCCACCGTAGAAGGGAGTGGGGCATTCACCGGTGCTATGATCCGAGGCACGTTCAGTGTTCGAATCCCATCTATAGAGAGAGGCACAGTGAACTGTCCAATACACACGGTTGGGACCTGAAGTTGCCCCCCGAGACGTTCATTTCAACACTTTGTCCGGTGTTACTGGAGGATGCCATGGATGCTTTTTGAGGAAATAAGCTTCTTGTATCGATTCCCACAGATGGCGCCAAATGATATTGTGCAATTCGGCTGCTCCCAGCTGGAGGTGATCTAGCTCCATGTAGACGACGGACTCAGTTGATCTGAAAAAGGTGAATCAAAAAACCCGAGGGTGCTTACCCGGCGAGGTCGCTCCGATGCTCAAGTCAATAACGAGTTGCGAGCTGATAGTAGCTTAGAAAACAAGAGAGCTGGTGAGCAAAGATTACGCGTACCTTTCACCCCCGGGGGGTGGAGCCTTTATATAGTAACTTTTTATTCCAGTTGATTGGTCAAATGTATACCATATCTTTTCATCCATTGGTGCGTGATCATCCTAATAAACGCTTCTTTTACCGGGGTAGTATAGGCATTTCAAAAGTTATGTAACAGGTCAAGATGGATCGGAAATGCGATAAGTGCTACTTGTGAAAAAATAGTCAAAATTTTAGGGAGCGTTTGCCAAGTCTTTCAACAGAAGATCTTCTAGTAGCTGAAGACCCAAAAGACTATAGGAACTTTCATAGGTAGATCTAAGAAGCCCAAAGATCGTTTGGTTGTAGTAATTGTAAGCTAGGTAGACATGAAGATTGTTTGGCATGTAAGCAAGCATACTTTGGGCTCATTTTCTTGCTAGCCTCCACTTGAGCTGAGTCTTCCCAAAATCTACCCATGACCCTTAACAGTTCGTATATTGTTAGGCTGGACAGAAGAGGCAGACTTGTGTGGCATTTGTTTCCAGCTGGCATCCTTTGGACCATTTGGATGGGAAGAAATTGCAGAATATTTGCAAAGATTATCTCTTGGGCTGGCACAACTAACATTACGGAAGATTTATTCTTGTAATTAGAACAATGTTTGGATTTTTTTGCAAGGTTGTCCAAGAATGTACAATCAGTCACTGTATTGGGAGTCTCTCCCATTTATACCTATTGTTGGATTTGGATTGACGATTGGTTGCATAGCTGAACAAGGGCAAGTTAAATCAAACCTAAAAGGTATGTAATTGATGAAAGGATTATTAATCACTACTTAAATTAACATGAAAATTGAAAAACGAAAGAAACGAATTGAAGTTTAGTAGCATAACAAACATTACAAGATCAAAAAATTTTAGATATATATACCAAAGAAAAGATTAATGGCAGAAACGAATTGAAGTTCTTAGATATTAAATCAATAAAATAGGGGAAAACAAACAACAAAAACTCCAATTAAAACAAAGAAAGCAGATGGGTTGTACCTGGGAACAGAACGATATTATTTGTAGGTCGCTGTAAATGAAAACGGATGGGTTACGGTGGAGTAGAAGAAGCAGCAAAAGAAAGCAAAAGAAGAAGAAGAAGGAGGAGGGGGAGGGAGGGAGGAAAATACCTACGTTGAAGAGGAGCATGCACAGAACTTTTATTTTCTCAATCGTGTGCTTATTGGCACACGTATGATATAGCTTAGACAGTCCGGGATTTCCATAAGTTGGAGCTTCTCAATTTTGGGGATTTTCGGGCTTGCACAAGCTTTTTGGGCGGTCCATCTTCTGAGCTTCTGGTCTTATTTTGCCAAATGGAAAAGGCTCAAAAATTGGGCTTTCGGGCTTTTAGTAGCCCAGAAGACACTACCAAAGATTTCTCAAACGCAAACTTAATTTAGCGTGTCTGGGAACCGTCGGCTTTTATTGAATAAACACTATCACATGGGTGTCACTTCAGTGTTTTTCCAATGGATAGGCGTTTATTCATGTTTTACTGACGTGTCTAATGGTGCCTAAGTGTCAACAAATGGGTTTATCATTGCTTTTCTCGATTTTTCAAACAAATCAAGTACAAAATGTTTAGTTAATAAACATCCACGGTTCCAAACACATACTTATTGATTTATTTCTCGGAAAAAAAACACTTATTCAAGCCTACTTCCCAAATACATGTGAACCAGTTGGGACTGATGCACAGGTTTTATTAAAAAAAATTGAGAAAAAAACTTTATGACATTTCCAGTTAAACGGTGCTCATCTAAGTTCAATTCAAGTATTATTTTGGTTATGTTTAGTTTTTTCAATTACAATTCAAGTTGTACTTTATTGCGAATGGCTAATTTTGTATACTCTAGATAAATTTATATTATTTTTTTGTACATTAATGCTAAACTTTTTAAGTAATTTTTTACCAAAATGTTTTTTGGTTTGTAATTATTTATGAATAAAGTTGGTTAAGGGTAAAATTGGTATTTAAAGAAAATTAATGCATTATTGCATTACATCAACATGTTCTAATAGAAGTAAAGTATCTATACCTTTTTCAAAACAATATGGGATTCCCTAGTTTAAAATAGAATTTAAATTAATTAATATTAGATAATTTTGTATTAGTTTATATTAAATTTAAATGGACATTAGTGTTTAATTTATCTTATTGCTTTTTATTAATTTACTTGTTTTAATTATATTAATAATAATAATAATAACATTATTTTTATCCTACTTAAATAATTTAATACATATTTTTACTATGGTTAATTAATTTTTATTATTTTAAATGGATTATAATTTTTTATGATGTTTTATTTAATGTTTTCAACTTATTGTTGACTTAGATGGTTAAACCATTTGAACAATCACTCAACCCTATTTTTAATTTTGAGTTTCCTAAAACTTACTACTTTGTTAATAACTGTTGATTTAGTCAAAACCCATAAGTTTGTGTCTAATTGTCTAGTTGGGTTGATTTTTTTTATTAACTTTTCACTATCTTTGCATTTGCAACTCCAATGTACAAAAAACTCACTTTTGTGGTCTTAAATTTCAATGTCTAGCTCTTTTATTTATTAAAAATTAAAAACTAAAGTAAAGCATAAATTGAACGTAAATAATATACACAAAATATAATTAATTATATCATATTATGCATATGCAAATGAAAGATGTGTCATGGTTTGATTTATCTAACTCAAACAGTTGAACTGTTGATTAGTGACCTAGAGGTAAAAACTATTCAGCCTCCAAATCGATTTTTAAAATACGGGTTTTATTTGTTGAGTGAATTAAATATTATTTATTTTAAAATATAAATTACATAATTAATTAACTTAAAAATGATTTTTTAAATTAAAGTAGATTATTTATACTAATAATATATCATTGAATATCTCTATTTTAATATAATTTTTATTTATAATAATAATAATTTAATATAAATATATCTAATGTATATAAAATAATAGTTAAACTGAAATGTATGTGAGATAATTAAAGGAGTTAATGAGAAAGAGGAGAAGAATAAATGGTGAGTTAATGAGAGGAGATAAAAGTCTTAAAGCTTATTAGCCACTTGAGTTATTTTGTTCGAAAATTAAAAAAACAAAAAAAAAAGATAAGTGGTTATAAAAAACAATTAGAAAAAGATAAATGATTTTCAAAAATAACCAAAAAGCAGTAAAGTAACAGCTTGGCACATTCCATTTTAATATATAGGTATAAATGCTTTTATGTGTGGTCGCAACCTAAAATAAGCACTAATTCCAATAAATGCATAAAAATAAATACTCCCAAACAGGGAATCAAGGACTTTTTTTTTGAAAGGTTCATTATATTAGGCTTAAGCTAACAAAACAAAGCCTTCCACTTTAGGTATCCCATCCTAATAGTCATTTAAAATAAAAGATGATAGATGATGGAGTTTCGCTAGTTGGGATACCTTGTGGGCTGAACTGTTAAACTTTCTATTTACATACACAAAGGAGACATGTCTATATTTTGAGACGAGAAAACTTATCCTACACAAATGCCATTGGCAGGACCAGGGTAGGATAGCCTTCTGTTGTAGTGCTTGAACAACCTGTTGAGCATCTGAGTATATACAGACTTCGTGAATGTCCCACTGAGAGATTTCTGATAAGGCTTGCAAAATAGCATATAATTCGGCTTGGATGACAGATGAAATTTGATTTGTTCTTCCTCCAATTATTCGAAGACGTGCTAAATTTCTAGAAAGTAATACAACACCATAAGAATAAAGAGAGTCTAAAATTTTTCCAGCATCAGTAAATACAATAAGATCCACATTATGAGATATGTTGAGGGTAATTTTATCCAATAAATGCAGATTTCTATGGGGATCACTATTAGTTAGGTATTGAGATGGATGATAAGAGTTGTTAATTTGACATAGGATAATGGGGGGATGAATGAGTCTTTTTTAAAAAATCATCTCATTTCTTGCATACCAAATATAATAGGAAGTTGTAGTTATCCAGCTGAAGATATTCATAAATAAGGAGTAGTCTGGAATTTGATTATAAAGATTTTTAATACAGCGACTCCAAGATCCCTGATAAATGTGAAATTGGATATTCCAAGGATTAGCAAACAAAATTGCTTGAGTGAAGGTGCAATCCATGAATATGTGATCTAGATTTTTAATTTGTAATTTACACATAGAGCATGTTTTTTGGTGATTATCTTGAATGATTTTATCTTTAACAGGGATGAAGTTATTCAAGATTCTCCAAAAGAAGAGTTAAAAATGGGGTGTTGTTTTAAGTTTACAAAGTTTTTTAAAGCAAAAACTATGGTCTAGGTCTACCTGTGTGTATGGTATTATGTGGTTTTTATTGTAACTTTCCTTTACTGTGAATTTGCCTGAGCTATGGTGGATCCAGATCCAAGAAGTGGGATGGGAGGCAGAGAAAATGGGGGTGTTTAAAATCCTTAAAGCTTCTTTAGTATCAAAAAGGGAATGAATAACATTTTGATTCCATTGGCCATGGTGGATAAGATTATCTATGTTGAGGTTTTTAAGATGAGGTGCTAAAGGGAAAGCTATCCAGAAAAATTGATTCTGCTCTTGTAACCAAGGCCTTTGAAAGATTGGAAAGTTGGAATCCTCTTTAATCAGAGCTCCACATTCCGAAGCAAGTTCTATTAGGTTTGGGGCCATTGATTTCCAGAAAAAGGAGCTTGGAGTTGTAATGGAATGGGGGAACAAATTTGATTGTTTTAGATATTTTGATTTCCAAAGTTGTGTCCATAGTTTATCTTGCTCATTGAGTAATTTCCAGGCTGTTTTTTTTTTTTTTTTTGAAAAGAGTTTTATTAGTTAGTTTTAGATTTCTGAATCCTAACCCTCCCTGAGTTTTATTCCAGGCACACCAGCGGAAAGGGTGAGGTTTTGATTGAGAGGTTCCCCACCAGAAGTTCTTAATGATTTTTTCCATTTGATTCGTAGTCTTTTGTGGGAATTTGACTAGAGTCATGGCATGAATTGGAATAGATTGAAGAATAGACTGAATTAACACTTGTTTACCTGCTTGACTTATAGTAGAATCTCTCTAGGAATTGAGTTTTGTTTTTAAGTTATCTAGGATAAAGGTTAGTTTAGAATGTTTGTTCCTGGGGAAGCCCTAAATATTTAGAATCTTTATGCAATGGCTTTATTTTTAGTTATCTGGAGGTTAACCTTTGGAGTTTGGGATGAATATTTTTACTACAGTAAATTCTCGATTTTTCCATGTTAATTAATTGAAATTTGTTAAGAATTTGGATCAGATTATCAATTTCTGCTCTATGGGCTCTGATGAAAATCATAATATCATCCGCAAAAAAAATGAGATATTTACTCATTTTTTGGGAAGACTGGGAAATGGGGATACCTTAAAATTTCCCCTCTTGTTCAACTTGATGAAGGAGTCTTGATAGCCTTCCATTACTAAAATGAACAGATAAGGAGATAAATGATCTCCTTGTCTCAAACCCCTAATTGGATGAGAGTGACCTTCTGAAGTTCCATTGATGAGGACTAAATAGGAAATGGTTGAGATACATTATCTGATTAGTTTGTAGAAATCCGGGGTAAAACCCAATAGAGAAAGAATTTGAATGAGGAAAGACCATTATAGCCTGTCATAGGCTTTAGACATATTTAGTTTGAGACCTATATATCCTATTCCTCGTTTTTTGTGTTTTAAAAGTGAAATATCTCATGGGTGATGATTGAATTATTAGACATCTCTCTGTCAAGAATAAAAGCTGCTTGATTTGGGGAAATACACTTATCCAAGACTTTACTAAGCCGTCCACTTTTTTTTTGGGATAAGACAAATAAAGGTATGATTTAGCCTTTTTAGCATTTTTTTTTTATTTTGGAAAAATTCTTGGACCAAAAAAACCAAATCCGGTCCCATCAAATCCCAGAATTCCTTAACAAGAAGAGCTGGCATACCATCAGGACCTGGGGATTTTAGATTCCCTATACTGAAAAGAACTTTAATTTCCTCAACAGAAGGAATATCTGTGAGCATAATATTTTCTACCTCCGAGATTATTGGGTTAAATAGATTGGAGATTTCTTCCAACTCTTCATAGTTTTGGGAGGAGTACAGGTCAGAAAAGTATTCAATAAATATTCTAGTGATATTGCTCAGTTTTCCAATTATTTTGTTCATCTTTAATTCCTTCTATATAATTTTCTTTTTCTTCTAAAAAGTGTGCTTTTGTGAAAAAAGTTTGTATTTTTCTCTCCCAATTGCAACCAAATCTGGCGAGATGTCTGTCTCCAAAAGCTTTCCAACTGATTGGTTGCATGATCCAACTCCTTATATAAGTGACTTTCATGATCAATGGTGCCTAATTATTCCAATTGAAAGATCTGATCTTCTAATTTCTGGATTTTGATTCTTGGTTCAATAAATTGGGACTTCCTCCAACTGATTAAATTTCTTTTTAGAGCATCTAATTTCTGAGTGATTCGATAGGCTGCATGTCCATTAATTTGAATTTGCCAACCATTTTCAATGATTTGCTTGCAAGAGGATTCTGATAGATACATCTCGAAGAGTCTAAAAGGTTTGGGGAGACTATAGATTTTAGAGTTCAGATTCAGGAGGGGGTGATGATCTGATCCCCACTTTGAACCTATTGAAAGGGTTGCATTAGGAAGAATGGAAAGCCAACCAGGAGACATAACAATCCTATCGAGGGTTCTCTAGATATGTCCTATTGTTCTTTTATTTGTCCAGGTTATTCCACCTCATTATATATTTAGCTCTAAGAGGTTGTGATCAATTATCAGGTTTCGGTATTGCTTAGCGGCTAATTTGGAGGAATTATAGGAAGTTAGAGGTTCTAGGAAGTTAACCAAGGCAGCTTCTTTGAAGTCCCCGATGAGCAGATAGGGAGTATCCATATTATGTAGCTTTGAGTTCAAGTCTAACAAAAAAATATTTCTATGGTGTTTAACAACATGGCTATAAATGAAAATCAAAAGCCAGTTAAAGGTAGATGAATGGATTTTTAAGGAGACATACCTCGAAGTTGATAGCTCAACAGTAACCAAAAAATTAGCAATCCACATTACTGCTAATCTGCCAGCTCTTCCTTCAGGGTTAATAGTGATATAATTAGGATAGCGCAATTTAGTAGTCAAGGTATTTATTTTAAAGTCTAGGATTTTTGTCTCACATAAAAAGATAAAATCTGGATTTATGCGGTGGACAAAGTCCCTTGGCCCCTAATACCTGCCCTACAGTAGTTCCAGCTCATGATAATCATTGATACAGGTGGGGCTGATAAAGGCTAGCCACCTCTGCCCATAGAGAGAAAAAAACAGGGGAGACAAAGAGTAAATAGAGACTTACCGCATTCTGATTCTCTGAAGTTGTATTAGGATCAATAAGAGCCACGTGATTAATGGAAACAATTCTTTCATCTTGTTCAGCTGTACCTGAGGATTCAGGCCTATCGTAAGTGGGTAGATCAGGGGACAACCGATCAGATTCCAAGCTTGATAAAAGGTCAATTCTTGACCTTCTACCTCTAAATGAGGAGGGTCCAGGGACATCTTCAAAAAGGCCATTCACAATATCTTGAATAGAGGCTGCCAGGTTGAAAGTTTCTACTAAAACTAGAAGAGGAGGAGGTGCTAAACTCGAGGGTGCCAAGTGCCAACGGGTTTGTAGAAACTGGTGGTATGGGAGGGGAGTTTTCATTATTGTGGGCTGGGTGATTAGATGGTGAGGTGTTTGCTTTGTCGTGAAGGTCTTCTGCGGCTGGGGGGTAGGAGCATTGAGATTCACAAAATCACTAAAGATATGACGTCACCATGATTGCCGCAAAGTCTGCTCAGCTCTCAGGCATGGGCCTGGGTGATTCATGGACCATCGATTAAAAAACTAATTGAAGGAATGTCTTGCCGTGCTCGGTATGGATTGTGAACATGGACGAAACAGATGTCCAACTCTTCCACAAACATAACAAGTCCTAGGGAGATCTTCGTATCTGTAAGTAATCCAGTTATGGATACTTACAAATGAACCAGTTTGGAGAGGACGATTAATGGAAATGGTGACCTTTGCATGAATATAATTGTGCACTACTGAAACTAAACGTGTAGGGCCAATACGTTCAAAGAGGGCGACCTACGTTGATTGAGAGGGTTTCAAAAGGCAGGTCATGAATCTAGACCCAAACTTCAATTTCTTAGATATTCCAGGCATATTGTGGACGACTAGGAACCCAGGGTTGCATTAAAGTCCATTGATCATTGAGGGTCCAAGGACCATTTGTCTCGACATTGTCATAATCCTTGGCATAACGAAAGTTCAGACGGACTATGTCGTCAAATTGATCTAGGAGTAGGCTACTGGAATCCATATTCCAGAGCTCGTAAAGGCCTTGGACTATGTCGTCAAATTGATCAGTTAAGCGGGTGAAAAGACGACAAATAATAGAAAGTTGCCAGTTTTCACCGATACCAGGGGGGATGAGATGTTGGATGTTTACCACATCTACTCCTGCGTTACCGTTTCCCTGGAGCATTTGCTGGAATGCTTCGTTGAGAGCTTCCAGATTCTCCATTGATCAGAAAGAAAGAAGACAGACGGGGAAAACTCACTGGGAGAGAGGATAACTGTAAGAGAAGAGGCAACAGAATAGGAAAAGAACAGACGAGAGAGGAAAGCGAGAAGGAGAAACAAGAAAAAGACTGAACCAGCTATTTAAACAAGCGATAAAAGTTTAGTTCAGATCTAACTAGTTAAGTTAACAAAGATAATCTTACAAAGGCGAAATGACACTTAATTCTGTTCCTGGTGTAACTAAGCATTAAAGACGACAGGTGGTATAACAAAATAGCAAATTTATGACAGATCAATAAGAGATTTGAGATAGGTGTACTCCCTGTAATTACTGGGACTGCTTGCATGAGTTGTAGTGCAACGTGTTAAAACGCCGGCAGCAAAACTTCATGCTGATATGCGAAATAGCGGTTGTGTATAATCATTCACCTTGGTTTTCTAAACCATTCCTGTTTCAAACTGCTTTTTAACTAGCTCCGAACTTCAGGTTGTTGCAGCATCGCAAGTGGGGACTTAATCAGCCAATTACTGATCGTCTTAGCTAAGAATTGAAGCTCTAGATTGTGTGCTCCGAACGACTCTTTTTAGCATTTTTAATGGGTGTGAAGAAAGAACTCAGAAATCCTCAATCATCTTCTCTTGATTATGTCTCACCACTTGATTGTAGTGTCTCAAGAGAAACGATGCCAATCTCATAATTCAATTTGATGCTATCCTTGATAGCATTGTAATGTTATTTCCTTTAATTGATAGGGGAGTCAGGGACTTATGGGCATTTAGGACCTCCCCTGCGTTTCCATCAATTTCTTGCAAAGTTGCAACTACATGAGCCTCAAGAATAAAAATTGGGGTCAATTAACAAATTCCCAACCCAATCCACCCCATGGCATTCGGCATTCCATACGTTAATGGATCGCCAGTAGCTTATGGTGTTATCGTCACGAATCACCTTGGACTCGTTCAGGCAATTCTTTTTGGGCCAAACAAAAGCTTTGGCGTGTTTAAAAGGTATCCAGCTTGCAAAGGATTTCTTGTTTTGGAAAGTAATAATCTCTCTCTGATTAAAGCTTTATTTGATAGAGACTAGAGAGCCTAAATCAGCTAGAGAGGCCTTATTTTGCGTAGATATCATAGCTTCTTCATCAGATGGTCTTGATTTATCCTTTTCTTTGGTTAGAAGGGAGGGTAATAGTCTGGTGTACTTGCTAAAGCGTTTTGAGTAAAATAGTAATTGCCTCTTTTTTTTTTCTTTAAACCATAATCATAGATATGGGCTTGAATTGGTGAACCTAAAAAGCTCTCAACAGCATAGGCTGTTGGGGGCAAACAGCGAAAGAGTTTTTTTTTTCATTAATGAAAAAAACTGATTGGGTGAACTTGAAATAATCTGTGATGTAATTATCTCGTTTTGTCATTAATGAATTTTCTATATATCCACCAAATAAAAAAAAAACCCTATTGAGTGAACTTGAAATCATCTGTGATGTAATTATCTCGTTTTGTCATTAATGAATTTTCTATATACCCACCAAATAAAAAAAAAAAACTGTTGACAATTCCATAACACCTGCTTAAATTAATCTTAATGCTAAAACATTGATCATTAATAACTTTACTTCAATACATTGCATCTCTCTGACTCTGTTAATTAATAGAAATGGTCAGGAATCAGTCAAAATAGGAGATTACACCTGCACCCCAAAAACGCCCCACATGCACATCTCAATATATATTGAGAACATCTCTCGAATTTGTTTGTGAGAGATATTTCCAATACACGATTAAGATGCTCTGTGGCGCAAATGTGAATTCTCAAAATAGCCAGCCTGCAGCTCCATTTGGAAAATTTCACCATTCACCAAAACTCTTTCATCTACAGTCACAAATAAACTCCCTGATAAATTAGAAAAACCATAAAGTCATATGATCCTACCTGTCATTATTTATCCTACCATATATCACATTTAATAACTATAAAGTTTTGACCTGGGAAAAAATATTATATATATGTATCCAAGGAGGAGAAGAGGAGGTATGAGAAACGTTACATTCCAAATTCAAAACATTTTAACCTTCAAATTCAATAGCGCCCCATTAGAAATAGAACTCCTCTTGACATCCCGAAAAATATAGTCACATATGAGGTTGAGCAGCTCTTATGCTAATGTGCCTATATAGTTATGCTTCATAATATTCAATTTTGAAATAAAGAAAGATTATCTTTTTAAATTAAATAGTTTAGCTTCAAGAATGATTTCTATTTATTTTAATTTGGTACACGTATTTGATGCGGACCTATTCATGGGCTGGGCTCGGACTAAGTTTTACCAATAGAATAACAAATAGATAAATTTGTCCATGAGAATGAAGAGCTGCAGATAAATTCAAGAAAATAAAATAAAATATAAAAAGTTGAGATGAAGAGTCCGGGTTAATTGAGCATGAAATGCTGTGGAACAAATTACAGCTCTCTACATCATCAGATGTACATATTCATGTCATCTTCCATGTGCAAGTCTATTTAAAAGGTAATTGAAAAGAGATACTGTGGGTTCAAAATCTTATTTATTTATTTTTTATGCGAAACGATCCCTTCCTTCATCAGAATAAACTAAGGCAAAACAATGAAACACAGCAACCACCAGCAACCAAATACACCAACCACCCTAGATAACAATATATAAATATATACACTAGTAGGGACCTGACGTATATATGTGCTTTATTAAAAGAAATTGTGGATTTGTGGTCTAAAAACTTCATGACATTTACAATTTTAAAATTATTTTTAGTTGTGTTTAATTAAATAAATAAACATTGTTATTTTAATAATTTAATTATTTTAATTGATACGAAGTAGAAAAGATTAATAAAGAAAAACTATTAGGAGAAATTACTCTTTCTGACATAAAAAAAAAGATATTTCAGGGAAGAAGAGGAAGGAATTTATAAAAGAAACGGTCACCTAACAGCCGTTAAACTTCTAGGTTGAACGTTTCTTGGCAGTTGACACGAACTTACCTAATGCAATCTAATAATTTCATCAACCAATAGCCCTACCAACTGAATTACAGTCGTTCAAAAACTGAAAAATCGATTAAAATCAAATCGAAATTTGATTAATTTGGTTTCGGTTTAGTATTTTTAAAAATTGAAGGTATTGGTTTGGTTTTGATTAATTAAAATAGAAAATCGGTAATTAACCAAAATTTAAAAATTAGTTTGAAATTAAAAACTTGTAATGGTATTATTAAAAAGTAAATTAAAAAAATTAAAATTTACAATACAAATATTTTAAACTAGGAAATATGGAGAATTATTCTCTTTTTCATATTAAAAAAATTAAAAAAATTAAAAATTAAAATATAAAATATTAATATTTATCTTTGATTGTATTAATTTTGATGAATTTACAAATGACCAAACTAAAACCGATCTAACCTCTTAGGTTAACATAATAACTAAATTAAAACCGGTCGAAATTATTAAAAAATTGACCAACTTGCATCAAGATGAAATGACTTTCGAGAGAGAATTATAACTACATCGGATATCATTGATCCTTCAAAATCCAGAAGATGTCGGCACTTCACTCAACAGGTTGGATAATTGCTTAACCAAGTCTTCCCAATCAGCCTCCAAAATAATAATGAGATATTTCATTTTGTGGCACAAGCCGCACAACAAAGCCCTCTCGCTCATTGCCAAAGCTTTTGCTTCCAAAGGTCTTACAACCCTATTCAGTATTCACCTTACCCACAAAGGGAATGGAAGGTAGAGAGAGAAGAGACTTAACCTCTCAAAGGCTCAGTTTGGAAAGAGTGTAAGTACAAATATGTGGTGCAAGACCTTGTAAATAATATTTATTTTTTTTGAAGGCAATGGCTAATTTCATTAAGAATGCTCAGAAACTCAAATACAACCTATGAGTGTACAATCAGCAAATAAAAAAGAAAAATAAACCCAATACAGATTGCAATAAATCTTGACCACCAGGAGAAATTCTTG